CATTAAAGTGCCAAAGAATATCTCAGGTAATGGGTGCCAGTATTTCAATAATATCGGTCGATTTTAAGGAATTTGGTAAGCTGAAGAATCTCGATAAATGGGTTCCATGGGAACTCATTGAAAGTCAAAAAGTTCGACGTCTTGAATGGTGTTTGATGTTGTATCTGTGATATTTGAATGGTCCATTTTTTCATCAGATGGGACTTGTGATAAGAAAGTCAGATTTATTATATTGACTTACGTGTTAAAACCCTTGAGAAAGGTATGAATCCTCTTCTTCTCCACCCCCACCAGCTATGCGTAAATAGCACGACAGAACGATTTCTATAGCGTTGGATGGCAACTGGTCTACCGAAGAAAGAAATGGCAACCAAATTGATATGCGAAACAGAAGACTTACTTGCCACCGCCCATGTCTTAACGATGAATACTAATTTTGCCCGTAAGTCCATCTACCACCAAGTGGATTTGAAAAAAATGCCGAAATTATCACAAGATAAATAACTGACAATTTCCATTATGACGAAGGACGGAAGAATAAAATATATCAGGGATGATGTTTTGGTTTTAGTGAGAAAAGGAAGGTTTTTTTGTTAATTTTCAATTCGAATCTTTGGTATCAATGATGACTATTCCGCCTCCTTTTATCGGATTGGGTCTAGAATTATGCTTTTATTCATAGATACCCTTTTTTAAGAGGAGACTCCGATTGAGGAATCGGAGAGACGAGTTCGAATTCCAGTCGAATCCATTACATTCACTTACGTGCTAATACTCTTGGGAAAGGTATGAATCCTCTTCTAGATTTTCCCGGAGGAGTAATGGATAGCGGCTTGGATTGAGGAATCGGAGAGCCGAGTTCGAATTCCAGTCGAATCCATTACATTCACTTACGTGCTAATACCCTTAGGAAAGGTATGAATCCTCTTCTAGATTTTTCCGGAGTGGTAATGGATAGTGACTCGAATTGAGGAATTCGAGAGCCGAGTTCGAATTCAAGTCGAATCCACGTGTTAATACCCCTGGGAAAGGTATGAGTCCTCTTCTTCTCTCTCCCCTAGCTATGGGTAAATAGCAGGACAGACCGGGTTCTATAGCCTTTGATGGCAACAGGTCTATCGTAGAAAGAAACGACAATCTACTGCGGAAAAAGATCTGCCTCGTCAGTCATGTATCGAAAGTTACATAATCGCCTACACATGTATCACGCATGGCACATAACTGACTGACTCTTAAGAAAAGTATGAATCCTCTTCTTTTCCTCCCTTAGCTATGGGTAAATAGCAGGACCGTGTTCTATAAACTTGGATGGCAACTGGTCTACCGCAGAAAGAAATGGCAACCTACTGCGGGAAAAATCTGCCTCGTCAGTCATGTATTGAAAGATACAAGATCGCCTAAGTGTGTATCACGCATGGCACATAACTTCCTGACTGATAAGAAATGGATCCATCATGACGATTCACTCAGTGGCTTCATCATGACGAAGTACCCAAACATTTTCGAAAACCGAAATTACACCAATAGAAGTTCATGTTGACTTTCTGATGGTCTACCATAACAACCTTGAGGAATCTAAGCAGAGCATCATTGCTGGTGTTTCAACCGATCCAACTGGATGAAATGCACGTCCAGTTCGACAAAATGCAACCGGCAATGGTTAATCGAAGAGGTCCTATCAAAACGCTCGGTTTCTTATTGCCAAGTTGAAACTGGAAAAAATTTACCGAATGGTTTAGCAAACATTGCCACATACTCCATATTCTCATAGTCTCTCGCCTGCTTACTACAGCTTTTTTGTAGAAACTACATTGAACGATTTATTGGCATATTGAAACATTTGATCTCGTCGTAAAGGCATAAATCACTTTTTCACTCTAAAATGAAATGTATAGATGTTCAGTGTTCATATTTGTTACAGTTTTTTGTGTATATGTATGTATATGTAACTAGTGAGTTAGTCCAAATACCGTGAATCGCTTTATAGTCTACCAAAAGAAGGTTAACCAATCAGAAGACATGGAACATTCAACCCGTCGTGTATAAAGGCGGCCATTTTTGTTTATCCTGCCCGAATGACCAGTGCCAACTTGTCAGGCGAAAATGAACAGAAGGAAGTACTACGCTCTGCTACATTGCTGCGATATCCACTGCTAACCTGAACTTCGCTTTCCTACTGTCTCCGAAATATTCACTGCTAAACTCTGGATTCTATACTCGAAGACGACCGTCATGATGTATAACAATATTTTCACTGGAACAAATATAAATCTTATATGCGATGCATCACTAAAGATGCTGGAAAAAGTTGCCATCTCCCTGTGCCGTAAGAACCTGACCCCTCATGTTATCCGCTACCTTTATAAGACCCAGATCAGGCCCCAAATAGAACATCGTTGCCATATTTGGGTGGAAGCTGTCCAGTCCTAACTTTCTAGTCTTGATAGATTTCAAAAAATTCTCTGATTCTTTCTTGGAGAATTATTTTCCACTCTCCAGCCTTTGTTTCTCTCACAGGCGGGATGTAGCGGGTCTCTCAATTTTCCGTCGCTACTACCATGGAAAGAGCACAGACGAACTGCAGTCCTTGCTTCCGTGGGGTCTAACCTTCACGGCCTGGACCCGCAATGCCTCTTACATTGTAGCAAACCACCCACATTCTCACATTCCCTCCGTATTCCATCGGTAAGAAGTCAGTTTCACTCTGTTTCTTTAGCGAACCACTGCAATCTCAACCTGTTCATCTCTAGAGTTAACTGTTATCTTCTCCTCTTATCCATATAAACTAGCCCTTAGAGTATCCATCTAACAAGAGTGACCCCCAGACCTTGTAAAAGGTGAACCCTACGTTAAATAAAATAAAATAAAAATAAAATAAAATAAATTAATAAATTAATAAAATAAAAATAAAATAAAATAAAATAATAAAATAATAAAATAAATTAAATCAATAAAATAAAAAATAAAATAAGATAAATTAATAAAATAAAATAAATTAATAAAATAAAATAAAAATGAAATAAAATAAAATAAATTAACAAAATAAAAATAAAATAAAATAAATTAATAAAAAATTAATGAAATAAAATAAAAATAAAATAAATTGATAAAATAAAATAAATTAATAAAATAAAATAAAATGAAATAAATAAAATAAAATAAAAATAAGATAAAAAATAATAAAATAAAATAAAATGAAATAAAAATAAAATAAAATAAATCTCCAAAATCTGACATTACTTTCCGAACAAACAAATATTTGGAGCATTTTTGCAAAAGAAGCATTTTTGCAAAAGAAGCATTGTTTTAAAACAAATATTAAATCGTAAGCCTGATCAATATTTTCGTAAATTATGTGTCAGAGGGTGATGGTGAAAGGGTTTCCTGTCCGAAACGAGAAATCATGAAAATTTCTCGGACATTCAGGCCGGTAAATTTTATAAATACTTCTTATGATAAAAAAGAGCATTTACTTAAATATTTGTATCTATAAAAAGAATGTATAAACATAAAATGTCTTATATATATATATATATATATATATATATATATATATATATATATATATACACATTATGGTGCCAACATTCTAGATCACACTCTGAAATTCGAAGTATCACCTAAAGATAAAGGCTGCCTGCTTTTTATAAATCTAAATTACGGAAGGATTTTATCATATACTAGCAGTAGTAGAACCCGGCGTTGCCCGGGGATGTAACAGTAATAGATAGATCTAGTATTGACCATCATAAAGACTGAAAAATAAAATTGACAAAGATTAATTTTAATGTTGACGGACACGCATGTCTTAATTAGATTTCTTTTTTTCTGTTGTTTTTGTTTGTTTGTTTTTTCGTTTTTTTTTTTTTACGAATTGGTCAAACCCAAACTCAAACAAAAGCATTGTTTTCAATCGTTATGAGTCTACCGATTGAATAGAATTTTATTATAAACAATTGTCTTGTAAATGGAATTTTTAAAGCATTCTGAATGTAAAAATAAAGAAAAAAGTGTGCAAGACAATAAGAAACACTACCTGCCAAAAAAATGAGGTTGAAAAATGTAGGAAATCCGATCCCATATATAAACGAACACAAACACACACTCACAAACAACCTGGGTTTTATAATATTAGAACCACCGCAAGGTAATTTTACATAGTCCTGTGAAGTTTTGTTGAAATCGGTTGAAAAGTGTAGGAAATCCGATCCAATATATAAACGTACACACACACACACACACACACACACACACACACACACACACACACACACACACTGCGTTTTATAACAAGTAAGATTCAATAATAATAATAATAATAATAATAAAAGGCTTCTCACCGGCCTTGTGCTATATGCTCAATAAGAACAATAACGAAATTAAACAATTACCGCTTGTGGGTGATAGATTATACCATCCCGCCCTTACAACCCCATTTCACTAGTCTCCCGCTGCTCCGTATTTTCAGGGTAAGCGCTCAGGCAAATTACATTCCTTTGTTCAACCAATTTTAACAATCAGGTCTAACACCAACAATGCCACGCCCATTGGAGTGAAGCACCCTCATTCTCTTTGTATTCTTTGGTGAAATGTAAGTTTCAGCTTCTTCCCACGAAAGGCTGCCTTGTGGAAACGAGTCCCGAGAGGATGCGTCCCCGATCACTCCAATGTTTACTCATTCAACCGTTATCTTTCATACACATCCGCATAAGCAGTGCCTCCTATTCTGTAAAACTCTAACTCTAACTCGAGTGGCCGTCGTGCCTTGTACAAAGTGAAACTCTTTGTCGAAAAGGGGAAGCTGTAGAGAGTCATGATCACCTACGCCCTGATATGACATAATATTTGAAAAAAAAAGTCCTTATTTACAACCAGTAGGAAAACAACTTCTGTTAGAAAATCTATTTCCAGGAATTTTCTGGTTCCTCGTCTCGAAACAATACTTCTATTGATTCCATTATTACATTTCTCAACTTGTTCAAGACTATACCATTCCCAAAATGATTGCACGTCATATCTCTGACAGCTTTGACCGCATTTTCTGGCCGGAGACTGACTTAACCTTATTTCTTTTCGGGAATGTCACTCTTTGTCTCTGCTGCTCCGTTTCTGCTGTCACCCACGACACGCTTAACAGAGAGAAATATTGCCAGTCAGAGAGGAGAAGTTGCGGTAAAGCTAAGATCCTTCCACAGATACCGACAGATTTTACAGAAACGTCATTGTTTAGAGAACTAAGCAAGAAAAATAAGATTAGATTTCAGAAACACGTGCAGCACAAGGACATGGGGTTCAGAAGAAATTCGATCGGAAAGAATGGTAGAAAATCTTTATGTTTTCACACATCAATTCCTTACTTTTGAGAATAAAGAATCGTACCATTTGTACAGAATCTTTATTTGTGATTGATTTTGCTTTCTTCATAATGAATCAAAATAAATAAAGTGAAGAAGGCTTACGATTATACCCCGTAAAACACCGGTCCTCAAATCATGATCGAAGTTAAGCAACGTCGAGTCTGGTCAGTACCTTGAAAGGTGACCGCTTGGGAATAGCACGTGCTGTAAACCTGGATGTGTAGATGGCGTAACGGTCATATTCCGTTGAAACAACTGTTCTCATACGATCAGCGAAGTTAAGCAAAGTCGAGTCTAGTCATTATTTCGATAGGTGACCGCTTGGAAATGCCAGGTGCTGTAAGCTTGGATAAGGGGACGGTGTAGCGAGTTTACGGTCATATCCCATTGACACAACGGTTCTCATGCAATCAGCGAAGTTAAGCAAAATCGAGTCTGGTCAGTATTTCGATGGGTGACCGCTTGGTAATACCTGGCGCTGTCAACTTGGATGTGTGGACTATGTAACGGGCTTACGATTATATCCCGTTGAAACACCGGTTCTCATACGATCAGCGAAGTTAAACAACGCCGTGCCTGCTCACGTGTGAGTCACAGTTTTTATGCTCGCTTTACTAGTTATGCTTCCAAGACATTTTAGCGCCCTGTTTCTCATTCTGATTGTTTCTTTTATTGGGGGGGGGGTTGATATGCCGTAAAACAAAATAAAGCAAACCAATCTAAACCAAAGAATACATATTCTATTCATACGAATCTATCCTAAAAATTTTGTCGGCATTAAATAACCCATTGATGTTGATATGACGTAAAACAAAATAAACCAAATCAATCTAAATCAAAGAATACATATTCTATTCATACGAATCTATCCTAAAAATGTTGTCGGCATTAAATAACACATTGAGGTTGATATGCCGTAAAACAAAATAAACCAAACCAATCTAAACCAAAGAATACATATTCTATTCATACGAATCTATCCTAAAAATGTTGTCGGCATTAAATAACCCATTGAGGTTGATATGCCGTAAAACAAAATAAACCAAACCAATCTAAACCAAAGAATACATATTCTATTCATACGAATCTATCCTAAAAATGTTGTCGGCATTAAATAACCCATTGAGATTGATATGCCGTAAAACAAAATAAACCAAACCAATCTAAACCAAAGAATACATATTCTATTCATACGAATCTATCCTAAAAATGTTGTCGGCATTAAATAACCCATTGAGGTTGATATGCCGTAAAACAAAATAAACCAAACCAATCTAAACCAAAGAATACATATTCTATTCATACGAATCTATCCTAAAAATGTTGTCGGCATTAAATAAACCATTGAGATTGATATGCCGTAAAACAAAATAAACCAAACCAATCTAAACCAAAGAATACATATTCTATTCATACGAATCTATCCTAAAAATGTTGTCGGCATTAAATAAACCATTGAGGTTGATATGCCGTAAAACAAAATAAACCAAACCAATCTAAACCAAAGAATACATATTCTATTCATACGAATCTATCCTAAAAATGCTGTCGGCATTAAATGACTAATTGAGGTTGATATGCCGTAAAACAAAATAAACCAAATCAATCTAAACCAAAGAATACATATTCTATTCATACGAATCTATCCTAAAAATGTTGTCGGCATTAAATAACACATTGAGGTTGACATGCCGTAAAAGAAAATAAACCAAACCAAACCAAACCAATATTATTAATAGTTCCTTACTGACAATCTAGTTTGACGACTAAATGCAGAACATGTCACTTAACCTTTTTATAATTGTATAGAACCACAAATGGTAGCCATGTATACGTGCCATAGCAAAAGATGATGTAGAAACGTGGGGTTCCTTCTACCGCCCCTAGAAAGTGCCAAGGTACTTCTGACATGCTCTAGTTTTATAAGAGTCATATCAGACCAAAAATAGAGTATTGCTGGCGGATCTGGCCTGGAGCTAAAATATGAGTTGTACTCTGTTTATAATAAACTACATCCGCATCCTGGTTAAAACGATAAACTACATCCACGTCCTTGGTAAGACGCTAAACTACATCTGCGTCCTGGGTAAGACGCTAAACTACATCCACGTTCTGGGTAAGACGCTAAACTACATCCGCGTCCTGGGTAAGAAGCTAAACTACATCCGCTTCCTGGGTAAGACGCTAAACTACATCCGCGTCCTGGGTAAGACTATAAACTACATCCACGTCCTTGGTAAGACACTAAACTACATCCGCGTCCTGGGTAAGACGCTAAACTACATCCGCGTCCTAGGTAAGACGCTAAACTACATCCACGTCCTGGGTAAGAGGCTAAACTACATCCGAGTCCTGGGTAAGACGCTAAACTACATCCACGTCCTGGGTAAGAGGCTAAACTACATCCGAGTCCTGTTCCCTGTCCAAACTACATCCACGTCCTTCGTAAGAGGCTAAACTACATCCGAGTCCTGTGTAAGACGTTAAACTACATCCACGTCCTCGGTAAGACGCTAAACTACATCCACGTCCTGGGTAAGAGGCTAAACTACATCCGCATCCTGGGTATGACGCTAAACTACACCCGCATCCTGGGTAAGACGATAAAATACATCCACGTCCTGGGTAAGACGCTAAACTACATCCGCATCCTGGGTAAGACGCTAAACTACATCCGCGTCCTCAGTAAGACGTCCTACATCCGTTCCTTTAAGACGCTAAACCCCATCCACGTCCTGGGTAAGACGATAAACTACATCCACGTCCTGGGTAAGACGATAAACTACATCCACGTTCTCGGTAAGACGAAACGCGCCCTGGGTAACGAAATCCAAAACATCCACGTCCTCGGGATAAACTACATCCACGACCTGGGTAAGACGTTAAACTTCATCCAAACCACATCCGCGTCCTGGGCGTTTGGAAAATGACGGACGCTAAAAACATCCACGTCCTCAGTAAGACGCTATCGAACCACATCCGCGTCCTGGGTAAGACGACGCGACCTGGGTAAAATAAACTATCCATATAAGACGCTAAACTACGCGTCCTGGGTAAGACGATAAAATACATCCACGTCCTGGGTAAGACGCTAAACCACATCCGCATCATGGGTAAGACGCTAAACTACACCCGCGTCCTCAGTAAGACGCTAAACTACATCCGCTTCCTGGGTAAGACGCTAAACTGCATCCACGTCCTGGGTAAGACGATAAACTACATCCATCCTGGGTAAGACGATCCATCCACGTTCTCAAGAAGACGCTAAACCACATCCGCGCCCTGGGTAAGACGCTAAACTTTCCGCGTCCTCAGTAAGACGATAAAGTAAAATCGACCTGGGTAAGACGTTAAACCTACATCCACGTCCTGGGTAAGACGTTCAGACGACGTTAACCACATCCGCGTCCTCAAAGACGATTAGACAGTAAGACGATAAACCATCCGCGTCCTGCGACCTGGGCGACCTGGGTAAATGATAAACTACATCCACCTCGGTAAGACGCTAAACTACATCCGCGTCCTGGGTAAGACGATAAACTACATCCGACAGCAAGGCTTCTGATCAGAGGTGTTTGAGGAGCCTGGAACTTGATTCGGGGTGGTAGCATCTGTTAAAGTCCCAATTATAGGCAATTAGTTAACACCCAAACTGGGGTCAATACACCATGAAAGTGTAAAAATAGATTTTTGGAGAAGATAAAGATTACCAGCAATATATTTTTTTTAAAATATTACCAATAATATATTTATGAAAAAAAAAAAAACTTTGCCAGTAATAAAAATCTTGTCGGCATTAAATAATGCCGTAAACCAAAATAAACCAAAAGTTTGATCTACCAAATGATTTCTTACAAAGAACGCATATTCTATTCATACGAACCTATCCTAAAAATCTTGTCGGCATTAAATAACCTATTGAGGTGTTGATATGTAGTAAAACAAAATAGACCCAAACCCTGATCTACGAAATGATTTCTTACAAAGGATACATATTCTATTCATACGAACCTATCCTAGAAATCTTGTCGGCATAAAATAACCCATTGATGTGTTGATATGCCGTAAAACAAAACAAACCATTCCAAACTATAAGAAACCGAAGTACAAAAAAAGAGCCCATTGCCTACTGTACGCCTTCTGTACTGTCGAAAGATTTATTTATAAATGAGAAATGTTCAATTGGTTTAAATGTAGAGAGATTGATATTTGATTATCTTCCAATGGTCTTGTTTCTTGTTTGATGGTGACTGCCTCTGTATCATTTGTAATTCAGTCTACATAGGTCATGTCTCGGAAAGTTCAGTAGCATTTTTGATGCTTGCATTCTTCGCGAAATTTCTGCTGACCAAGATTTTCAGCCGTAAAGAAAGATCGAGAAGCTCAATGCACGCAAAAAGCTGATCTACACTATTTACATTATTCGAACTATTGTCCTCATCTGTGTCGCCATATTTATTACAACGTTTCAATCGTTGTATGCTCCGGCCTTCTTCTCGTAGTTGGAATGTCGAACTGAACCCTTTATTTCGCTCACATCCATTTGACATCCATTAGACATGGCACATGGAACTAGTACAGTCTACACCATTGAGCGAAATCAAGAGTTCAGTTCGACATTTATGTATATATATATATATATATATATATATATATATATATATATATATATATATATATATATATATATATATATATATAAATAAAGAAAGAACAGCAAGATATATAATCCGGTGTTCTTATTCGTTTGAGGATGAAATGGAACTAATGTCTTTAATTTAATCACAAAATTAAATTCGTGTCTTTTAGGTTCCATTTTTGAAACATGGTTAGAACTGTGTAGCTAAAAAAAAATATTTTTAAATCAATTAATTTATATATATATATATATATATATATATATATATATATATATATATATATAAGGAAGAGGTTATAGTAGTTCCGAGAGAAAAGTGTGTATATTAAAAAGAAGAGAGAAACTGCAAACGTTTTTGGTTGTAATGTGGATTTTTTTTTATATATTATGCTTTATTTTCCATAATTTTGCTACACGTGTTTCAGTCTCGCGACCGTCACCAGGCAAAAGGTAAAGATTTCCGCATAGTATTAAAAATAATTAATTTTTTTTTCTTTATGTTTTTCGATGTTAAATATTCTCGATATCAGACATTCTCTTTTTTGTTTGTTAGTGACCCAAATATCTTTCTTGAACTGGCAGTGAAAAGTTCTGCATGAAGGGATATAAAACAATTAAGATTGGTCCGAGAAATGGTGAAGTAGTTATTGGCATTCTTATCTTTTAATGACCTCTGTGTGTTCTTAGATCTATTTCCATTTTCGTGAGTTTTTGTCAGCATGCGTGTATATATGTGTATATTCCCTCTCCATACATACACACTATCTCACTATGAGGAATTAGCATACACATTTATGCACATACAGACATACACACACACAAACACACAAACACACTGTGCCATT